GACCTGGACAACGTAATCGATAGATGGAGAGTTGGAAACGTTGGTGCCTCCATCGATACGTATACGTATCGGCGTTTCAACTCCAGAGAAGATGATGTACGGTAGGATGGCTTGCAGCACCAGGTTGACACTTCCGGGGGTGCTCTGTTTGATGCGCACGTCGCCAGCATCGAGTACGCTGTTGAATCCTTCGACGATCTTGGATGGTATGAAGGTGATTTCCTTGCTCTTGAGATCTGCGCCGTTGATGTTGGCGTTGCTTGCTTGGCCTAGCCACTGCACGCAGGTCAAATGTTGAGCTTTGAGTCCTCCGCCTCCAGACCGCTTGCCTCGGATCTTGGTGATCCGGATTGGCCTTTTGGTCAGGCTCGAGAGACCAAGGGCTACCCGTAGGAGTTGGCCTCCGCCTTCGAGAGTCGTGCCGTCTAGACGAGTGGGTGTCTGGGTTTGAGGTGCGAACGCCATGGCTGCAGATAATGCTGCCGTACGACTGTGCAGTTTATCGATGAGTTATGTGCAAAATTAAAACATACTCTGAGATGCATCGCTGTTGGGCTGAGACATCTACTGATGCCTGGTGTATGAGTGAGGATGACTCAGGCGGTCGCACTTTCCATTCATGCTGCGAATGCGCCGTAAGACCACCCGTATGTAGCAGCTGTATACTGAGTCATATTTGCGCCTTCTTCGTTTGAGAGATTGAACTTCCTCTGTGGAAATCTTGTCGACTTGGTGTGGGGGTGAACAAGGAGATGACCTAGAGCGCTCAAAGCTGCAGCGTCCCGCGGCGATGACGTCGTGCGGTGACAAACATTCAGACAATAGACATCCATGAAAACACTGGGCATCTAGACCGTGATAATTGCAAAGACCCTTGAACGCGAGCGTGAAGTTGGTGGTGCCTTGCTTCAGGGACTCTCGGAGATCGAGCCGCGGCACGCAAGCGATCGACGCGGCGGTCCTGTCGTCATCAGCGAGGCGCCGAACTTTTGATTGACATGTCCGAAGTCGTCCACTCCCACGTCCGCACGTCCATGGCCATGTCGAATGCCTCAATAACGCCCCAATTCCATCTTCACGTCCGGTAGCTGCCTCGTCTACCCCCCGCCAGCCATGCGCGCCCCGCTGGCTTTCTCCGCAAAGGCCTGGCACGGCCCAGGCAACGGAGCCCTCTTTTCAAATATACAGTCGCGCATCTCGACGACAACACCCGCCATTTCGAGATCGTTCGCTACGACGCCGATACCGAAAGCTTCAATATCCAAGGCGTCACCAAACAGCTGCGCGCCGTCTCTCTTCGCCCCGTCATCAATCCTCCGATTCGCAGCCGCGGGCACCACACGCAACAATGGCCTACGCACACCAGCTCGCATGTTCACGACATCGCGACTGTTAGCGGAAGCCTCAAGCAATGCCAAGCCTGCAAAGCAACGCATATCATACAAAGAGGAAATCAAACAAAAGGGCATCGTAGACTTGGAAGAGCATGATGGCGAGCCCGAGAACGAGGAACAAGGCTTTGCAAAGTCCGAGAAGGCGGCGCAAGCAAAACAGGTCAACTTGAGCGCGAAACTCAGCAAAGACGGGTCTGGCTCTAGTGGTGCGCCAGGTGGCATGAAAGAGATCTGGAGACTGATCAAAATCGCCCGACCTGAGCTGGGTGTGCTCTCCTGGGCCTTCCTCTTCTTGCTCCTTGGTTCTGGCATTTCTCTCTCGGTACCCTTCTCAATCGGTAAAATCTTGGACGCCGCTACTTCGACTGAAAACACCAATGGTTTACTATTTGGCGTGTCGCCATCCATCTTCTACTTCGGACTGGCAGGTGTTTTGACGACCGGCGCTGCCTTCAACTTTGGACGTATCATCATCCTTCGAATCGTTGGAGAACGCATCGTCGCACGTCTTCGATCGCAGCTCTACCGCAAGACCTTCGTCCAAAACGCGGAATTCTTTGACGCCAACAGGGTTGGAGATCTCATCTCCCGTCTCGGTTCGGACACCATCATCGTTGGAAAGAGCATCACACAAAACTTGTCGGACGGTCTACGCGCACTCGTTAGCGGTGCAGCTGGTTTCGCCATGATGGGTTTCGTCAGTCTAAAGCTTACTGGTATTCTCGCCCTAATCGCCCCGCCTGTCGCCCTCGTCGCCTTTTTCTCCGGTCGATCGCTACGAAACCTCAGTCGTAAAATCCAGAAGAACTTGGGAACATTGACTAAGATCGCCGAAGAGCGGTTAGGGAACGTCAGAACAAGTCAAGCCTTCGCTGGAGAGGTTCAAGAAGCATCACGATACAACCGGCAGATCAAGAGGATATTCGCTCTAGGAAAGAAGGAAGCTGTGGTTGCCGCGAGCTTTTACGGAAGTACTGGGCTCATGGGCAACTTGACCATCATCTCCATCTTGTATGTTGGCAGTAACATGGTCAAGAACGGTGTCATCTCTATCGGCGAACTCTCCTCGTTCTTGATGTACACCGTCTATGCTGGCTCTAGTATGGTGGGTCTTTCTGGCTTCTACGGGGAGATGATGAAGGGTGTTGGAGCTGCCAGTCGTCTCTTTGAACTCCAGGATCGCAACCCAACAATATCGCCCACCAAGGGTCTACCAGTCAAGTCGGCCCGAGGCCCCATCGAATTCAAGAATGTCAACTTCAGCTACCCGACGAGACCAGCGGTAACCATCTTCAAGGACCTCAGCTTCAGGATTGAGCAGGGTACCAATGTGGCCATCGTTGCACCCAGTGGAGCTGGCAAGTCTACAGTCGCTAGTCTCCTACTACGTTTCTACGTCCCCAACTCTGGAACCGTAACCATCGACGGCCGAGACATCACCACCTTGAACGCAAAACAATTGAGGAGGAAGATCGGTTACGTCGGTCAAGAGCCCGTACTCTTCTCTGGCACAATCGCGGAGAACATTGCATATGGCGTACCCAACGCTACACGCGCTGAGATCGTGGCTGCTGCCCGAAAGGCCAACTGCCAGTTCATCAGCGATTTCGTATGTACAACCCCTATCTTATGAAAGCCCCGCTAACAAGTACAGCCCGATGGCCTTGAAACACACGCTGGCGCAAGAGGAACTCAACTCTCCGGAGGCCAGAAGCAACGTATTGCCATCGCACGAGCACTCATCAAGAAGCCCGACATCCTTATCCTCGACGAAGCCACGAGTGCTCTGGACGCCGAGTCTGAAACTCTTGTGAACCAAGCGCTAAACAAGCTTCTCCAAGAAAACAACACAACTATCAGCATCGCCCATCGTCTATCAACGATCAAACGGTCCGACCGTATTATCTGCATCGACTCTGAAGGTAGGGTAGCCGAGGAAGGCACCTACGAACAGCTCAGCTCGAACCCAGAGGGCGCATTCAACAAACTCATGGAATGGCAGATGAGCGGTGGTGACGTGCCTGCTAAGGACGTCAAGGCCCCAAAGCCTACGGAAGAAGAGGAAATCGAGCGAGAGCTTGATGAGGAGAAGGAAGAAGCTGCTGGCCGCAACCGCGTCTAGTGAAGCTGCATCTTTATTTGTATCATATTCGATGGCAGTCGTGGCGATTTTGCGCGACTCTCCTGCTTCTTCATGGAAGCAACGGTGGGCAAGCCCGCCCCCAACAATGAACCTCCACACAGCACCAGGGTTGCTGCACGCTTGGGTCCAGACGCGCATCCCAACAGCAAAATGCGTTCCGCAGGGAGACCAGAAAGTGGTCGCCCTCTCGCATGGCGCTATTTGAGTGGTACTATTTGATCAAACATGAAAACTTCTACGATCAAGCTCCTATATTGCCATAGCCTAGGAAATAGTTCACGTTCTGACGACCCAAGCCTGTGAGGCTTGCAGCTATAATCAAACAATCATTCTCCTCTCAACATCACTCTGTACTCTGCAGGACATGTCGGGACGCTCCGCTAGCTCCATTAGCACCCTGATCGCACCCTGCATCGTCATGTCATCACATAATCAGGTACGACACCACTCATAGCACGCACCACAACATGTTACATGAGAGGCTACCAATCAGGGCTCTACTGGACGCACTAGCGTACCGAAAAGGCAATCTCCCCGTACATCGTGAGGTAACGCGATGGTGACGTCATGCATACCACGCAGTCTAGACCCTCCACACCTAACGCGCGCTGACGCGATGTATACCGTGATGCAAAAGCAACGTGCCATATAATCCCCATCTCACTCGACCCTAAAAGCCATCCATCCCAAACCAATTCCTCCCTAATGCTCAACACCACATCCCGTCTCCTCCGCCTCTCCACATCCACACTCTCAAAGCGAAGCCCAGTCACCGTCACCAAATCCTTCAGCACAACCACCCCTCGCCTCTACGCCGCCAAAATGGACGCCTTCAAGAAAGTCGGAAACCGCGAGAACGCGCCCCCAAAACACGAAATGGTGCATTTCCCCGGTCTGATGAGCGAAAAGCGAAGCTTTGGCGACTTCCGCACAGTCCTACACACAGGCCTCTACTCCCAAATCGTCGCCATGGAAGTCCCCGTCAACGGCGAAATCGGTGATGAAGTCCATCTTGTCGACCAGATCCTGCTCTTCACATCCGGTAAAGGGCTGGCGACGGTGAATGGCAAGGACCAGGAGGTTAAGGCTGGTGATGTTGTTGTTGTGCCGGCGGGGACGCAGCATCAGTTCGTTACCAAGGGGGATCAGCCCTTAGAGTTGATTACGGTTTATGCGCCTGCGGAGCATTTGCCGAGTAGTGTGCATAAGACTAAGGAGGAGGGGGATAAGGCTGAGGAGGATGAGATTGATGAGGCGCCCGAGTGGGCGTTGAAGCCTAAGGCGGAGAATGAGAAGAATGGGTTGGTTAAGGAGAGTGGGAAGTATTAGACTAGGAAGGTTGTGTAGTCTTAATGATAAGTGTATTTCATGAGGCTGAAAGCTTATTTGTTGTTTGTTGGTGGTTTGTTGGTGAAGGAGATCGTGAGCCAGGGTACGTGCATGACTGGATATCGCGTAGGAGGTTAGACCTCAACCCATTCCGTAAGCTCTTCCTTGCGAACCTTGTGTCGCAAGAGCCTTTTCTCTTTCCCCTTCCCATCAAAGACGGCGGGTACGATTTGTATGTCAGACTCGCTGCCAAACTTCATCGTAACATCCCATGCCTTGCCTTGTTTGAGCTCCTCAATATCGTCCGCAATCTTGAGAGCCTTATACTGAACACCGTCACCCAAAGTATCGCCACAGTCCCGGCTTGATTGTGGGAGCTTGATGCGACCGCCTTCAATCTCATTTTCTGGATTGAAGTTACACACCAACCACGGCGCTCCTGCTCTTCCATTCTCCTCGATAGCGACGACGAGGACGAAGCCAGAGTCAGACCAGTATATCTGCCTTTCGTTCCTTTCGGCCCTTTGCTTGTTACTTTCCACGTGACAATCCTGAAGTTGAAACACCCGGCCCAGCTGCATAAACACAAAGCCCGTGGCGTCGTTGCCTCTGGACTCGTTCGTGAGACCAGATTGATCTAGTTCAATGCCCTTGGGCTGGACTCCTGCGGTCTCGGCATCGGATGCTGTCTTCCATATGTTGATACCAAGTATGTTTGTGAATTCCGGCCACTCGCGTTGATCGTCCCAGTCCACGTCTTCATCCTCGTACATCAGTTGGTCATAGCCATCGGGTACTAAGCAGAAGTGGTAGTCGCAATGCATTCCCAGTTTGAGTGCGCCATTCTCTATCCAACGCCGTATGTAATAGACCTTTTCGCGCGATTCTTCGTTAAGGAAGTCGATCTCTTGAATCGCTTTGATGAGTTCGGCGGCGGTTGGACGTGGTTGGTTTTGGCGAATACGTTCTGGTTCCTCTACCTCTTGCTCCATTTGCTTGAGCCTCCATTCGCGGTCTCTGTCTATGCTTGCTAAGTCGGGAAGGAGCTGTTCTATGTCTCGGGGCTGGTGGTGAGACGTGTCGTCGTTGGAGCTGGGATAGCCAGCTTTCGACATGCCGCTAGCCATAAGTTCTGCAGATATCCTCTCGCAATCGGCGTCGGTTAGAGATGACATGGTATCTTTACGTTTGTTTGTTTAGGTGTGAGCGAGAAAGAAAGAGTGAGAGAGAGGTCAAGTTCAACCTTGCTGTGTAGAAAGGGAACTTTGTCGCGTGAAAAAGCTCCTCGGGTGAACCATGGTACCATCAGTGAGTCACCTCATTTATGACCCAAACGTTTGCGTTTGGGGAACGGCCCGATACCTAAGATTCCGGCTTCTCTAACCACTGCGACTGACGTCGGGGACCTTCTGCCGAAAGATATCGCCCGTGGTGGAAGTTAGCTTGGAGAAAACCGCGGCGACGATCTGGGCCTCGGATTCCGTCCCGAACGACTTTGTCATACTCCACGGCTTCTTGTCCTTGAGATCGCTCATTCTCTCTCCAAGCTTCACAACCAAACGCTGAGTGTTGTCTCCTAGAAGAGTTCCCCAGAATCTACCTGTTCGCGGGATACGGACCCTGTCACCTTCGATCTCAGATTCAGGCTTGAAATTGAAGAGCAGCCATGGCGCGCCAGGCACTCCGTCCCGCTCGATAGCCACAACGAGGACGTAACCGGAATCGAACCAGGGCATCTGTACAGGGTGGTGGGACGATTTCCCGTATCTCTTTCTCGTCTCCTGTGAGACGTAATCAACCCTGCCCAGCTGCATGAACGTGAAACCGGTATCATCATTGCCAGTGGATGAATTGCTGGAAGCGGATTCGTCTGACTCGTTATTCTTGCGCCGGTTGTTACTCTGAGGGCTTGTCTTGGTCAGGTTGATACCGAGTATAGATCCAGGTAGGATGTCGCGCGGGTCCATCTGGTCGATGTCGTAATCTTCGGGGACTAGCTGTAAGAGATCCATCCTCAGACAGTAGTGATAGTCGAGATGCATTCCCAGGCCGACGTATGAGCGTAGGTCGGTACTCAACATGTCACAAAGAGTCGTACGGGAGTCCTCGGAGAGAAAGTTTGTCTTTTCAATGGTCTTGATGAGGTCGGCGGCGCTTCCAGGTTCAGGGAGTTGTCGATTGAGATTGCACTGCTTTTGGCTCCAGTCTTGAAATCTCCGTAGATTGTCCGGGCTGGGGAGTAACTGGCGCATGAGAAGCTGGCAATCTTCCTCGACATCTGGATTGTCCGTACGGAAAGAGCCGTCGTTGTTGTGGTAGCCGCTTGTCGAACGTTCTATCAGCCGTGCTGAAATCCTCTCGCAATCGGCGTCAGTGAGAAGTGACATGGTTAGATAGATCCCGGGAGTGAAGTTGAGTTGAGAAAGGTAGTCCAGGGTATCGTGGATGCGACTTGGGTATGCTTAGTCTGCCAGTTGTTCGCACAAATGCTCGCGGTGACGGGTGCTTCTGATGTTGCTAGTCTCTAGCAAACGCTTGGTAGCTAGCTAGACAAAATCACCAAGCGAGTGAGTGTGAGTCAACACGCAAACGACTTGGCCCAATCGTTCGGTAGCTAAACGCAATCAGCACACGCATAGCGCAAGCAGCAATCCCCGACCACGGTCTCTTCGGGGCCACAACCAGTTGTACAGAAGACCCTGTCAAGTGCGCTGCGCGGAGCAATCTTTTTTTTTTGAGTCGTGCTCAACGCTGAATGAACCCTAGAAGAAGGTACCAAGCCTGAGCTCGATTTCCCATTGGCGTGAGGCATTGGAAATGCGATCATGCATTCATTGCAGTCATTCTTCGCTACCGTGGGTGTAAATGGAGACAACCACTTTAGATGAACAGCCTAGCAAACCACCATTACTAGATGTTTATGTTCCAATGTACACAAGGTTCTTTTGCGAGAAGACCTCTTAGGCTTGAGCGCGAAAGATAGACAAGTGGAAATGCGGAAGTTCGGAAAGTGGGGGAGAGGTTTGAACACGCTGCTGGACACGCAGCGCGATCGTCAGCTCTACTCATCGGTATCGAAGGGATATGCGCTGCCCGTTGTGAATCGGTCATAAACTCACCGTGATATTCCATCGCGACTTTGCTTTCCGGGTGGTGTATGGGTTTTCGTCATAATGCAGCTGAGTTAGTCACGTATTACTACAAGCGGTAAGAAGGGTTCTCAGTGATCTCACAAACCTCCACATCAGAGTGACGAGTGGAACAGTGCCCGAATTCAGGGTCGTGACAGTTGCATCACAGATCTGCATTTGAGACTCGAGGCGTGTGGGGCCGCTAAGAGAGCGTTTTCAACGTTCTTCCACCATGGCGGAACACGATAGTGACGCGGACCCTGCGCGCGTTCGCGGTGGTGGGTGATGGTCTGTCAGCCTTGCCGTGGCGTAGAATGACATGTTTAGAGGCAGTCTAGATTAGAATACGGGTGTAAGTATCAGGCATATCCTGACATTGGGCGAACGCAAGTCTTGGTGCGGTAGGTTTTCGTGTGGCGTTGCAACGACGTAATAGCGCTGCAATGCCCCGATCGCGACATTTTCGCGAAGGTACTGGATGCGCTCAAGATGAGGGGAAACATGGCAGGATTAGTGTCTTCAGAGAGGAACAGCGGCCGGAGTCACGATAGGTAGCTCGCGGGGTCGGGCTCTGAGCCGAAGTTTGGTTATCAGATGCGATAACCGCCGAGAGACCGAGGACCGGGCGGCGTGACAATGGCATGTTACAGAATTTGTGCGACTATGTGCCGAGAAGGCCTGCGCTTCAGCTCATAGTGGTTGCGGTGAAGGCTGGTGGTGTAATATAACGCGTTCGGTGAGCACCATGATCAGGAGATTGGGCTGGTGCGGTGGGCGCAGCCAAGATGGTCGCAAGATGGTTTGATCTAGGTCTATGTCGGATAAAGTAGGACATGACAAGTGGGAATACGAGCGGTTTCGGCGATGGGGCGCTGACAAGCGTCATTCGGCAGAAGTGGGCGTTCGGGATGCTCATCTCAGCCTTGAAGGCGTCGTTGATCGGCAGTAGGAAAAGCGTCCGGGCGCGGCCTCTGTCGAACATTTGTCCATCACCACCAGGCCTCACCTCATGCCCACACCCTCTGCCACGGCTAGAATCCGCCCAATACGAATTTATTCACAGTCACTATCCATCGTGTCACCATTCTCGGGAATTCGCACGCGGCTGCCACTCGGTCGTGTTCGTTTGCCAGCCAGTCGAGGTGAGTGATGCCACGATCTGATAAGAAATTCGGTTGCATCAAAGCATCAGATAACCACCACCATCCCCCACATGCTCTGCGGTCGCACATCTCCGTCGTCCGCGGTTCAACAAGCAAGTGCGCCATGCACACCCGCACCGCGCCTTGCTGTTGCATTGAATTCCCCATGACCATACCAAGTCAGCTCTTGCTAATCATGGTTTGCGCTAGCAGTCCCCTTTGTCGCGTCCCCGGCAGCACGCCCATCGCTCCTTCACCTCACTCCACGCAGGCACATGGCAACCTCGACAGCCACCATGCCCAGCCCCATCCCTACCACGGCGACTTCACACCCTGACGACCCAATTCCTGCCGAGCCAAAGGATATCCCACAGCTCTCACTCCGGCCCTCGCCGGCACAGTCGCAGCCGGAGCAGACCTCCCCCAAATCTTCAGGCGAGTCCACACTATGGACCACCAGCAGCGATGAGTCTGAGGCGCCAATGACGCCAATGACGGAGCCCGATCAGGGTGTTGATGAAGTAGTCGATAAACTACAGGAACTGCCTACCTCGGCTGTCAATTTCTCTGGGCAGACGCGTCCTCGCCGCGCATCTACCACGCTCATTTCGGACAACCCAAACGACATCAGACGGATACTGGGCGAGGGTGAGACGGCCACCAAGCTCATCAGCCAGTGCTGCGGCGGAGGATGCTGTCTGCTCAAGACACTGGCCCCGGACTCATCGTCGCCCAACTTCATACCCGTCGTCGTCCCCGACAACCATGCCTTCCGGAGCCTCAACCTGCAACTGGGCCCGCTCGCCCTCGACAGTGAGCTCACCGACACAATTCCGCTCCCTCCCGCCAACATGTCCTTCGAGCCTCTGCCGTCCAAGGACACCAAGTACGTCTCGCAGGTGCACAAGACGCCGCCCAAGTACGTTCAGCCACACCCGCCCTACGAGGTCTACTCGGCGCCGCTCTACCACGCACGCGAGTTGACCAAGCCGGGCGCTGAGAAGAGAACCATCCACTTCGACATTGACGTTACCGACTACCCCGACGAGGGAGGCGTCGACTTCAAGGTTGGTGGTGCCGTTGGCATCTGCCCTCCCAACTCGCAGGAAATGGTCGATGAGCTGTTCGATCTCCTCTGCATCCCCAAGTTTGTCCGCGACAAGCCAGTCACAATCAAGACGCAGACTGGAAGATGGCCGACCATCTGGGGCGAAGACCAAGCGCGCGAACTTGTCACAACCAGACGCGAACTGCTGACCTGGTGTGCCGACATCCAGTCGCACCCGCCCACCAAGAACCTCCTTCGCGTGCTCGCCGAGTATGCCGAAGCCCCCAACGAGAAGAAGATCCTGACATACCTCTGCTCAGCCCAAGGACAAGCAGCCTTCTGCGATCTCCGTACTACTTCTCACTTCACAGTCTCACAGATGCTCAGCGCATTCCCTTCGTCGAAGCCGCCGCTACCGCACCTCCTCTCTGTCCTCACCCAGCTGATGCCTCGATTCTACTCCCTCTCGAACGATCCTCACATCTCGTCGGCGCGCCCCGGCCTACCCGGTACTCGCCGCCTCATCGAGATGGCCGTCACAATTCACGAAACACCCGATTGGCATGCTGAGGGTGCTACACGTACTGGTGTGGGCAGTGGCTTCATGGAGCGCATGGCACACGCTTTTATCACAGCCGAGAATGAAGGTGTCGATCCCCGCAGCATTCTCGATCTGCGCATCCCCATGTTCCGCGGACTCATGGCGAACCCTCTGTCAAAGCAATTTGGTGGTGAAGGCCCCATGGTGCTCATCGGAGCGGGAGTTGGCATGGCTCCTTTCCGTGGTTTCATCCTGAACCGCCTCAAGAACGCCAACTGCGCCAACAAGATCTGGCTCATCCAGGGTGTTCGAG